CACCACCACCACCACCTCGCCCTCAAAGTAGCTGCTCCATAGATTATGTGGAAATAGATCAAATCCGTCCGGCGACGCGAGATCGCGAAGGTGAACGATTTAGAGATCTACAGCCTGGCATTTGGCAGCCTCAGGTTGTGCGGACGATTAGCACACCTGAACTGCATTCACACGTCTATAGCAATGATGTTGGCGGCACGCCGTTGAACGCCGAGTGCGTACAAAGCACAGACGTCGAGTACCAAAGATTAACACAGAATCCAATTCAGCGGGAGATGGGTCAAAATTTGAGTTTACGCCGACCGCGTATCTCACTGACTTGGGTATTAAGAGAGCAACAACAACAGCAACAACCAAACGAAGTACAAACGCCAACGAATGACGACGACGAGCCGGGAACTACAAAGAAACTCGTTAATGGCACAGCGGCAGAAACACCAAATAATAATAACGGTTGCATGAATGGTAGGCTAGAATCCAAGCAGCGCACAGAATTGGTGCCAACGCAGTTGACCACTACGTCTACCACAAACACTGCCACCACCACAACTACAACGACAACGAAACGTTATCGTCTCAAGCAGCTGCCCGGCAGCACTGATCCACTCAATGGGTACGCCACCACGCCCACCGCACACATGCCAGCTAATGCTTTGGCGCCACAAAAGTTCTTCAGCAACCAAAACTTACTGGAATACAAAGAAAAGTCAAGAGCGCCCTCCCGCGAGCTATTGTTCGTCTGCACGCCACAGCGATTGCCGAAGAGTTACGATACCAGCGAAGCGCTTTCGTTGGCCAAAAAACGCAATGAGATACGTAAGAGGCTTGCAGCTAAGATGGCAACATTGCAGGCAAATGGCAGGCCGCACGCAGACGGCGCTGAGGCAAGTCAGTTGGACAGAAATGGTTGCGCCTCGGTAACAGCGACAGGTGCGGCTAATGGTGTTGTTCTAGAAAAGGATGAGCTAAAGTCATTGAAGGGCACTTACTCCGAACCGAGTTTGATTGCTGCTTCGGAGGGACATCCTCGTCGTCACCGTCACCGCAAACGACGCGAACGCATTCGCGGACCAAAGTTTGGTTACGAGATTAGCAATGTAGATGAATTCCTCTCCAAGTGTTCACTGGCCTCGCCTGGCAATATACCCGTCGTACTGTCGGCTGCCAGTACGCTTTACCAAACGCGGCCGGGACAACATCAAGTTGAAGTGCCGCTGCCGCTGGGCATGGTCGTGAATGCGGTATTCAAAAATCAAAACTGGCTGTATGTGCAAACACCGCACGCTGAGGAGGGCTATGTAGGTTACTCTTGCTGCCTGCCGCTAGGCATACTCCCACCCACCGCGCGTAGCAGCGCCGCTAACCCCAGCAAACCAGCGCCGTGTTGGGAGTCCAACGGTGACATATTTCCACGTCCTGGCGGTAATATGACTGACTCAGAAAAGGAGATACGTCTGCGTGGCGGCACACGCTCCGATGGTGCGCGTACGCCGCGCGGCAAGCGCGGTGAAGCAGTCGGCACCGATGTGGATGCGAAAAACGGCAATGCCTCAGTCGTATCCGCAGCTGCCTCCACTTGCGGTGAGCAACAGGTAGATCGGCTGTATTTGCGCGCGGCATCGCAGCCGCGTCTAGTCGAAAAGGCATACGCGCAGCTCAAATCCACCAAGCAGGCACTGGCGCTACACAACAGCGGCAACGATGAATACGTAACACTGCAGCAGCAGCAGCAGCAGCACAAGTCAAAGTTGCATGTGCAGAAGCATATGCAACAACAGCAACAACTGCAGCAGCTGCATCACAAGCACCTCATCAATGGGCCGTACATCACGAACGGCCACAACGGCCAGCACCTACATCCAAAGAACATTGCGAACATTTCGTCAGCGGCTAGTGTCTCAAATGCCGCGAGCGTTGCGTCGGTATCGCATAGCGCCAGCTTTGCGTCGAAAGCTCCGGCCAATGGGAGCTTACATAACGCTAATGCGAATCAGCAGCAACACGGCAGTGTGTTGCACATGGCCAGTCGAAAGCAGCATGGCTTACGTCAAACGCTCGTCGCCATCAACACCGATTACGCCACCGACAGCATTGTGCTGCACAAGGGTGAAATTGTGACGCTCTGCGAGTGTCGTGAATCCAAAGATCATCGACAATGGTTCTATGTGCGTACCCGCGACGGCCGTGAAGGTTACATACCCGCCGAGGTGGCAGGCCATGGGTACTTGTAGGCGCATGCGCACGCACACCCATACATTTTGCATACTAATCATTTGAAAGTGAAAAGATTTTTCTAGTTGTAAGTTGCACCACACTCATTCCAGTCGCTTAGTCTGTAGCAGCTTAGAACTTATTAATAAATATTATCAATTATTAGACGACGTACACAGTATTTGGCTCAAGACGAAGAGGGAGAATAGATATACGTACCTACATACATATGTATGTATGTATCTAATTTTATCGACTATGTATTTATGTATGCTAATAAAAGTGTTATATGTACTTTAAGTATAAAAACGTTGTTTGTATGTACATATGTGTATGAACTTCATAACGAAAATTGCAATGAAAGCTGTTTACAAAAATTAAATAAATTATTATTCCATCACACAAATTTAAATAAAAAAAAACCTTGCGAATTATTATTAAATAGTAGATATTAATTGATAAGGGGTACACATAGGCAAGGGAAAAGGTCTAGAGGTGCCAGATCGAACATACATACATAAAATAATCGATTTTTGGATCGGTACGCATTGAAATAAAAGTATTCAAATTTCAAATATAATACATTTTTATAGAATTTTTTAAATTATTGTAATGCCAAAAAAAAACCGGATCTACATGTATGTATATGTACATATATTTATTGTTATTCTTACTTTCTTCAACATACGGTTCAATTTCTTTGACGAAGCCTGATCGGCCCATCCCTAATTACATACATATTCGGCCCTATGCTGAATATCGTCATCGTTAGTAAAAGTGACGATACGGCCATCTTCAGCCATTTTACTGATACGCTGACGATCGTCGACGATGACGAGGGCCAATTACCTCTTCGGATGATTCCTGCCACGGACTTGTCCATCACTGATATAAATAATACAAATATGGGATTGTTTAAAAATATGTATTTATTGAACTACAACACATGTATGCATGTAAGTATGTATGTACTATCGTAATATCTATATTCTTAACTGATTGTATATAAACATTGAAAATGCTGCAATAGGGCTACAATTAATGTATGTATGTACTTGTCTGCGGTGTCTGGCATAAAAATAATAATTTTGCTACTTTTAAAAACCTGTTATTTTTATTCCTTTGACGGCAAAATGATACTTGCACGCCAAAGAATTAATTAATTTGAATTAATAATTGGATCCATTTTTGAGTTTGTGAATTTGACTCGTTATTCTTTTAATTATTATTTTTTTTTTCAAATTACAATAATTAACTTTTAACTTTTTTTTTTGAAATTTCAAAACAAATTTTTTATTTTTGTTCTTTAAACACCACTTGTTAAGCTATCATTTTTATGCCTGACGCCACAACTATGCACTCAAACTCTTCTTTAAGAGTAAGAAGTTAGCACTTCCTGTAAGTTTATAGATTGGTTTTTTTGTCACAAATCCTATTCCACTTAATATGCTTCGCATTTTCGTATTGCTACAAGGTATCATTTCATTTAAAATTTTAGGTAATCACTCATATAACTTAGTTAAAATGCCTATATATGTATACAGGTATGTATATTCGTTATAACAAAATATACTAAATATAAAATTAATTTCTTAAAATTTGGCGAATTTATTAATTTTTTTATTTTTGTAAATATCATTAAATTTTATGGTAATAAATGACAGCTAAAATGTTAAAATATTTTAATCTAAAAAAAATTATTTGATTTTCGTACATGATTTAAGCCAAATTTTTGTAAAAGAATGTTTAGCATTTAAGATTGTGTTCTTAATTTTACAACGAACAATTAACACTTTTTAATGTTTTGTTTTTCTAAAATCTTTTAAATATTTTGGGATATCTAATTTTAATTATTGCATGATCTCACTCATTCATTTATGCATGTATGTATGTTTATTATGTTAAATATGCATGTATAGTTATTAAAAGTTTCATATTACACATGACAACCTTGTACATATGTATATACTCACATTTCCGCTTAATGGAATCATAACACTTTAATAATTGTTTATAAATCGATTACATAATGGGAAGAGGTACTTGTTTTTTGACTGACATTTTGTATGATTACGTGTATACATATTTTTATATATACTATACTAGTATAATGCCGGACTCCCACTGTACGCTAAATGGCAAACACTTAAATGACAAATTTGGCAATAAAAATATTTGCAACTAATTTAATAGATTAAGAAAAATAGTCATTAAGTTCGTTTCTGCAAGGCATTTTTTAAATGGCAATATTTTTTTGACAATTCAATGCCTAGTGGAAATCCGGCATAAGTATTTATTTAATCATTGCTTTTCGTAGCAATGAAAAATTGAGCAAAATTGAGCAAAATTAATTTACGTTTTTTAACGCAAATTTATGTAAATCGTATCGAAGTATAAAAACTTTTTCAACTGACAACTGGAAAATTTTAATTGAGCCAAGAAAAAATGCATTAGCGAAAAGATTTATTGATGAGTCATGTTGAGCAAAAACTGCATTCGTACAACAGCGCGGTTGAAAGGCAGTCCATAGAACAGTTAAAAAAATAGCGGAATTTGTTTACTCAGTCAAAAGATATTTCGCTTTAAAACAGAGACTTGATGCGTCCTCAATGCGCATTCAGAGTTTTTTAACTTTGACTTTTTTTAATAACGAACGAGCCTCATGAAAAAAATTTATTAAATGCTTATTAAATTTCGGCTGCGTGCTGCATTGTACTTCTGCACAGAACTCTTTTCGTTGAAAAAGTATTACGTGTTTTGTTAGTTGAGCTTCAATATCTGCCAATATCTTTTCTGCCACGAATCTCAACTTTGTTGCTTAATCTCGTTGAACTAGCAGATCAGGCTGGAACTTGACGTATATGTCGAAGGCGCCAAAATATCAGCATAAACTACCCTAATATTTTAGTACATTTTCATGTTCGGCAGATTTTTCTCTTTTTGAGCACACACTAACGCGAATTCGGGAAAGCAACATAGTTCGCAAGTCGCTAGCTTTCGAAAATCCTACTGCCAACCACGTACAGCCAATCGTCGGGTAGGTGGTTGGTGAACTATGCAGTACCAGTGTGGTCAGAAACCCGCAAATATGCCAGAGTGCTGGTCTACATACGACTGCAGACTGCCTTCTCGAACGACTTAGACGAGACGACGCCAGATACTCCCGGGAACTATACCAACAAGTTCTGTTTCCCACCCCAAAATGTATGTAAGACGGCACCCATATGACTGGAGAAGGGACATGAAGCTGCATTGATTAACTGGGAAACACCTGCCCAGCATACAAAGAGTTTAAAATGCATCACAATTTTCTGCATATCGCTAGCTAAAATTAAAAGTTGCTAAGTCCAATTTTTCTAAAACAAAGTATATATTTTGAAGCAAGAAGTATACACAATAAAAAATGCACAGTTACATAAAAGAACAAATCATCTAACCATTTCTATTCAGCTATACGCGAATGTTCTAAGTCCAAAAAAGCACACAATTTGCGTTGTGGAATTTTAATCGTTTTAAGTTGTTTGTTTTAGCTTAGAATACGCGAAATTTAAATTACAACTTAAATTGAGCTTGAAAGCCAATTCTTAGCCACTTTTCACTTTAAACTAGCGATGTGATGTATTTTGGATCGACGCCGAAACCGATTTGTCTCCAAGCTTCACCGTGACAAGAGGAGAAAAAAGTCTAAATAATGAGTAATGACTTCTTCCTCTTCCCGCTTATTAAGCACAAAATGCGTGGTGAGCGTTTTTCAAAATCTGAAGATGCCGTTGAAGCATTCAAGAAACTATATTGTTGAAGTATCCACTTCAGAGTGGCATAAATGTTTCGACAACTGGTTTCTTCGAATGTATAGATCGATCTTAAGGGCGAATATTTTGAAAAACAATAAAACTTTTTTTTAACAAAAAATTTAAATTTTCTGTTTTTGCAGAAACTTGCAGGATTACCCTGATATTTATTTAGGCAGCAGGGGAATTTCATTAATTTATATATATATCTGTTTCGCTTTTCTTTGTTTCTCTTTTTATATGAAATACATATGTACATACGAGTACTTAATGTGCATTATATGTTTGTATGCATGCTATAAATAATATCACTACTAATTAAAATATCAACCACACAACATACCCAGTAATGTTCATGCTTACAAAAAAACTTTTCAAATTATGTACATAAATCTAAAATTTGCTTAAATTAAAATGTACAAAATTTAATTTTTTTTTTAATTGAGCATATTGCAACAAATTTAATTACGAATATTGGCATCGTTTGCTTCTCAATTATACCGGAATTTAAGGCCAGCGGCCAGTGTTATTTTTATTAGTTAACGAAATCATAAAAAAAAATATACAAACATTATTCGAGCGTACAAATATACAAATATATATCGACTTAATGTTGGTGTATGCAGTTCGAAAATAGACAATATACAATTGAATAAATATTAAACAAATAAAAATGTTTAAAAATATATTTTAAAAAGGAAGCTACGCTGCAAACTTTTACACACTTCTAGAATGTGCAGCGCTGCTTTTCGTTCATATAAATATGTATGTGTGTGGGCGCGTTCAAATACGATCCACTTTCATATGTATACATTTTCAGCGTGGCATCTAACAATGGTCACTAATTTTTTCAGATGATTTCCATGTCGTCAGCACACGCGCTATATAAATTACTTTAAATTATACATACATAAACAGCAACTAGACGCATTTACACCAACAAATTAAATGTATCTACTGTTGTTTTTTCTATATAGCATGACCTGGACTGGAGCTAGGCGAGGCGGTTGATGCGTTATCACAAATGCTATCGCTTGTCGCATCCTCCGCCGTATTTGTCATATAGTGCTTAGCTAGCGCTGCCATTGATGTAGACGCAGTTCCATCTTCATCTTCCGCCGCTTCATCGAAGGCGGCAGCCGCTGTTCCGTTAGCTGTTGGTTTTTCTAGTAGATGACTCATTGCTTTCAAATTACTCGGCTTCTCCTCATCACGATTTATATTAAGCACGGTGTCGTTCATGCGATGATAATGCGGTTTCTGCGATGTACTCGGCCGCGAGTAGTCCAAGTGATCGTATTCATCTGTGAAATGTATGTAAATGGTATTAAATGTTGCTATAAATCATATAAATAATGAACACAAGTAAACAAATAAACGAAACTAAGACATTTGAGAAGGTGAAATATAACAGTGCATTTAGTATTGAATGCAATGTAAACAAATAAACTGTGCCTTAAGCGGTATGCTGTGGTGAAGAATATGAAAATTTTAACTTTTTTGCTACTAAAACACCGATTTCTCTTTTTACGCGATTTCTTTTAATTGAACTTAGATGTTCCTTTGCACGATTTTATTTTGTATTATGGTTTTATTTGTAACTATTTTGTACGCTTTTTGTACAG